GAGCACTGAGAGCATCCAGAGCTTACTGGGAGACAAGTGGGAGACAAGTGGGAGACAAGGGTGAAATCATGCGGCCAGGAACACAAGCCCGGAGACAAACTCAAAATCATCCGGCCCGAGCATGCACCCCTTTAAAAGGAGTAAGAACCCCTCACAGGTAAACCTGTTTGGGGAAAAACAAGGCTGTGCAGCTTCCCGGATGTCCCAACATCACCAACCAACGGCGCTTTGGCACAAGCGTAGACTCAGACCCTTCCACCCACCTGCCGGGGCACAGAGCGCCGCAGTCGCCCGGTGTGGGAGAAGGCTCGAATGTGAATCCTTGGCTCAGACCGGACGGATTAACGAGAAAGGGGTTTGCATCCTGAAAGAAACACTCACGAAAAGAGATTAAAACGAACTGGTCGACCCATGTCCTTTCCTTGCCCATTGACTAGCCTCCTTCGTGCTGAATGCCGCACTCACGTCGACCATACAAAGTATATGGATCACGCCAGCCACTCAAATTGATGGTCAACCACCTAGCGAGGTAACCAAATTGACAGCACACTCCCCTGTCAAGGCACTTGGACTTGTTCAAGAAGAGGTCCTTGCTGGCAAAACAACTCTGGGGTCAAACCACTTCAAACCCGCATGTCAAGGAAAGCAAGGTGATGTAGGGGGACCTATGAGGACTGAAGGGCTGCAGATAGTGATAGTGGTTGCTTTGAACAGTTGGACCTCATAACAGTGGCTTCGTGCTGGATGTGCTTTTCAAAGGGAAGTTAACCCACAAAATCACTGCCAAAATGCAGCATCCACAGCGTCCCATCCTTTGGAAGAATTACCGTGCCTCAGACCTTTACGAATCCAAGAAGGAATAACTACCTCCCAACTGGTTCAGACCCAACAAATTCACTTTGCAAAGAGTGTTTCTTCCGAAATGAATGCAGTATCAAGCTTTGGGATGCAGCAAAAGGTTTAGCCCAGTCGATGGTGACGACAGCTCAGCAAGGTCTCTTTGACGATTCAATGAAACGCACTTGTGGACCTGGGTCATTTTACCGTGAACTAGTCTTGAAAGAAGGGATCAACCAGCACCTAAGTGGGAAAATGGTTCTATCTTTTGACTCTTGACTGTGTGTTCGAAGCCCTGGTGTTGCGGGATGTGTGTCTTCAGAAGTCTGCCTCTGCTGTAGGTTTCGTGGTTTCTGGCAACCCAGCCTTGCCCACCCCTTGCTATTGGAGGGCCAGGGCACCATGAAGCCATAGGCATCATCGTCCCCTGCCAGCTGTGGCACGCGGTCGGCCGTGATCCCACCGCCACCGCCAGAGATGATGGTGGTGAAGGAGAAGGGCGGCGCCTGGGACATCTGTCGAGCTTGCCGAGCGGCCCAAAGGAATACCGATGAGGACTGTAAGCCACTTTAGGCTCGGAACCCGCACAGTATGCCATCCGGATGCAGGACTTGGTTTTCACGTTCAAACAACCTTCATAGCCGCAGACAGTCAGATCTACAGTAGTGCAGCGCCTCATGGCTTCCCTCAAACCTTATTTGAGACCTCTTGTCATTCAGCAGAACGAAAACCAGATGATTGCAAGACCATCGAAATGAAATATGTGTGTGTGTGGGTGTGATGCTGCTAAGGTTCTTGGCTTGGCTGCTTGTCTGAGGACTGCTTTCTTGCAGAAGAGAATTTCCAAGCATTGATGGGCAGTCCAATGTGGTGTTTTGGAGTCTGAAGTCAATATTCAGGTGTTTAAAGTGTTTTGACTTCAGAACAAGATAGTTTTGTCAAGACAGCCGGAGGCTAGCTCTCTTGCCAGCGTCTTTATTGAACGAGCACAAAATTGTGAAACCTCGAACACAACCCTTAAATCCCTCAGGTAGAGTCCAAGCTTGCTGAGTCTCCCTGCCGTCTTGGTGCTTTTTCCAACTTCAATCACCTCCTGATAATGTCTGTGACCAGAGATGATCAAGTCAATGCCATACCTGTCAAGTCCAAGTTAGTTGCATACGCTCATCCAACAGGAACTTGCTGGGCATACCACACATCCTCTCGCTTGAATTCCGCAATCCATCAGAACTTCGCAGAGAAATTACACATGTCGAACATCCCACTGAGACATTTGGCCATCCGATTCCAAGAGGTGCCTGTGGCCCATCTCTGTCCAAAAGTCAGCCTCGGCTCCAAGTGGAAAGTTCGGACGAGGTTGACCTGCGATGACCTCTTGAAAGGAAGCCGCACCTTCATGTGCACACTGAGATGTCACTCAAAAGGATTGCCCAAAGACCAAGGAACGAGGCATGAGTGAAGAGGGTTTTGTTAGAACTCGACTAGACCCAAACTGTTGGGCAGGTCTCCAAGGTCAAATCAATCACTTGATCTCACATCACATGTCGGAACGGAACCCGCGGAAAATAGCAAGAAGCTACGAAACCCTGCAAGTTCCTGAGTTGGTCTGGGGATTTCGAGCCTGCAAGAGTGGCAATCTGGACATGTTCCTGTGGCTCACATTGCATGGGTTGCAGTCTGCTGTGCTCTCAGGTTGCCCAGATGTGTCCTCAGTCCAGTGCTGCCAAGATGCATTGTACTCAGGAGGAAAATGGGAGACCACAATCTGCCAGTCCTGAGTCTCACACAGCATGCCATAATCACAGTAGATCAATCTACAAAACCTATCAACTTGGGATTTTCATAGTTGCAGACACGGAAATCGGAAAGGAGGATTAGACAACATCGATAGCATAATTCCGCTTATGAGCCTTCAAACAAAAACTGCAAATTTTGCCTGTCAAATTGTTCTGCTCACAGAGTTGCTCGACCCACGTTGTTCACCTGCATAATAAAGCAACCACAACTTAGCCATCAACCCACGTCGCATGATATCTGTTCGGCCGTCTCGAATCATTCTGCAATAGGTCGTCTTCTGGGTGAACCTGTCTGAATACCTTTCTCCTTCCAACACCCCACTAATCCCAGATGCCAATAAGCACCAATCACTACGAGAACCTGCCAGGTCGCAGCCTTGGAGAGGGAGAGACGCTGATCAAGCCACCTGGCTGGAAGGTGCCCATTACGCTAAACCAACTGGACCTTCAACCGCAAAACTAGTCCATCCTTTTCAGTCCGTCAGGGCCTCAGGATCCTTGTTCTGTTTTCAAACTGGCACTCAGCGTGTTTCCCGGGCCAGGAGAAAACCAAGAGCCATCATCCAATCCAATGAAGCAGATGGAAAAAAGCAAGGCCCAATGCCTAAAGCCAAGCGAATCACACCTTGTGCAACGTGAATGAACGTCTGGGCCCTGTACACTGAGTCTACACAGCTTACATGCTAAAAAATGCCCTGCCTCTTCTGCACTTCCCAAAGGCTTTCAAACCAGCTATGGCAGGCTTCCCGACTCACGGGTCCTCCAAAAAAGACCCATAGAAGGTGCGAAGCACGTTCAAGCATGCGATGAGCGGTGTTTGCGTTTGAGGGAGGCTCGTGGCCCAGCTCACCAAACTAGAGCAACCCCGTCTTTAGCATCTTTGACATCCATGCTATGAGTAGTTGGGACAGGTGGGAAGTGATCGAGGGCACTATTAATGCTTGGGTAGTGGTAAAAAGACTCACCAAGCAAGAAACAAGTTAGAATTCCAAGATGGTTTCTTCACAAACTGTTTCGCTGGGACTTGCAACTAAGAACCTGTCAAACTTTCGGACACACACACCTGTCCTGTCACAGAGCACCTGGCTCGGTGCTGTGCGAATCGGATGCTGATTCCATCAGTGGGAGAAAAAGAAGGAGGTCGTTCCATTCTGTTGTCACAGTCAAAATTGTCCTGTTCATCTCAATATCCACCGTATCCCAAACGCCTTCTCCACTAGAGAAGGGCTCGTCGAGATGTCTACACACAAGCCCTGTCAAACCTCTCAACCACCGACATCCAACTCGCCGCGTCGGGGCACTCCGCCGTCTTCTCGTTGTGCTTCTCGCTGCAGATGTTATGCCCGTCTTTGGGGTCGGAGGCATTCAGCTTCCAGGCATTGTTCACATTGGTGTCCTCACTGCATGGTCCAAGCAATTTCGATACGAACCCCAAATGGCCTAACCACAGGTCCACAGGTGGGGCATGGTATGGGCTTAACACTGAACACCAAGTGATTTGTTTGAGGTGACGGAACTTGGATGATCCCCCAGACTTGTGGATGGTTTCGCAAAGGACTATCGACAGTCCAGCTCTGTAACTTGAACCACCGCACAGTCGCAGCCACGCGGCGACAAAGTAATAGTCGATGGAGAAGTTGACGTAATGAACTTTCACCTCCAAGCGAAGCCAGAACAGAGTGCACTGCGGTGAATTCCTGGATGCCATTCCACCCAAGGCTACATTGCAAATGGAAAACAGCTGAAAGTCGCGTATTCTACAAGCTCACCGCTGGTGTACAGTAATCCTGAAACCTTTAAGACATATCTTGGTTGCATCTTCTTGGCTTATCAGGGTTCTGAGGACCTACCGGCTTGACCCCTAACGTAATGGCCTAAATCTACAGTAAATCGATGTTGCAAACGGTCTCTTCATGTTGAGATCTACGCATCCCACTCCAACTACCATCCTGCAGAAGCCCACATGTGCAAAGACTCTTCAGCCATTGAGTTACGGCCCAGTTTTTGCAAAACAGAATAGGCTGCCCATAGACCACCAGCTTCTCATTCTTCTTTGTGTCAAGTTAGCCTTTCCCAAATATGAACTGAGGAGGTACTTCCACAAGATCTTCGCCTACATGTACCAAAGACCTTTGATTAAAAAAACAAAAGGCACCTGTGTTTGCCTTTTTGAAGGGGCCCTTATGTTCCTTCCTTACGAACACTCATCCGCTATTTCTACAGAAGCTTCGACGACGGGAAGGAGAAGCTTCTTTGGCACCCGAGCCTGCCAATATTGTGCAGGTGTCATCCACCGTCCTGTGCCTTGGCAGTGATCCCGTCATGACACGGACCGGCGGTTCAAGATAGGTACAGTATATCTATGTCTATTTCTGTCCCAGATTCAGAGATAAGTCTTCCTCTACATCTACCTTTTATAGCCTGTGACAGGTCGTCAAACCTGCAACTTTGCGCCCAGCACACACTAAAGGCTATATTGCAAACCAGTTCAAGTGAAGTGAGGACCAATACGAACTAAGCAGCTGGGTGCTTCAACTTGAACAAGAGGCCTTTCTCCACTCAAATCTGCAATGGATGATCATTTCTGTGTTCCCAAACTTTCAAGTGAAAGAGACAATTTTCTTTGAGCCATGCCTACAAAATATTTGAAGTCTCAGATTTAGTAGACAAGAAAAGCTCCCTTCGTCCAGCATTCCCGCATCCCACCGCATCTGAACTCCACCCAGGACCATCAAAGCACGTTTGCTTCGAGCAGCTCTCGTGTCCAACCGCCCAGGTGTAGAAAATGCTCTCATGCCACCCAGACGTGAACTTAAAGCCTCTGCCACCAACACTGCGAAGATCACAGGGGATGGAAAGGAGGCCCCAGACGTGAATTCCGAGGTTCAGTTTGGGTGCGGATCAAAGCCAAACAAAGGGTGAATGTTGCTGGCGGGAGATTGCTACGAAGCACTGTGCTCTCGGCCAGGTTTGGAATCACCTGTACCTGATCGCTTCTTGTGAAAACATCCTGGCGAATCAGGCGAATCCCACCCAAACCACCCGCCTCCATAATCGTGATTGCCTAGAATCCCCAACCACTGCTTTCCATCCAATCCTCCACCTGCGAGATCTTGTTCAGATCTTCAATCCCAAGAGCAGCTGTGACAAGCTAAACCGGCAACAATTTACCCCAGCAAGGTTTGAGTGAAGTGCATCTCACAAACTACGAAAAGATCCTCTACTTTGTGGCTCGTCCCACCTTCGTACATTCTCTCGAAGATAGGACCCCACCTCAGCAAGAAACCCAGACAGCTGTGACTCAAACAGCTGGGAGCTGTTTAGATGGCCGAGAGCCACTATCACTAGCCTCCCCCGCAATGTTTGCCTAAAACCTCCTGAAGCTCTGATTATTGCGATGGCCCAAGGCTCCCGGCTGATTCCACCTGAAACCCTCCTCGAAGGAGTTGTTGTTGCAGGAGGAGTTCACGCCTCCCCAATAGAAGTTGTCTCCTGGATGGAGACTGCTGCCACTCCGGGTTGTGGTTATGGTTTCTCCCGTGTTTGTACCTGCATCACCTCCCGTTTGTTCTCCATACCAAACTGTGACTGAAAACACAAACACCAATCTCTATCAACCAGCTACATCAAGTGCATCAGAAGCAGCGTGGGACCAGGCAGGTTGTGCACGACATTTGGCGCTTCACGTATTCGAAGTGTCTGCGAGACGCCAATATTGCAAATAGCCAACGTTTTGCTAGTGGAAAAACACTCTTCCTTGCCAAAGAAGTATCCCCCAACTACTATCAAAAATGCCAAAGAAGGGATTCCAATTTGACAAAAAAAATTGGACTTCGACTCGGGCCAATCCTTCGATCTCCTTTTCCTGAAAAAAGAATGGAAATAAAAAAGAAGAAGCCGTTGCCGGTGACTCGGGGTTTGGCGAATGATTTCCCAGAGGTGGTCATGGTCTACACTACACATCGCTCCACTCGTCCTACGTTGATCACGTAGTCTGGCGCATCGTAGAACGACAAGTTCAGCATCTGCGCCGCCACCCGATGCCTCGTCACGGTCTCACACGGCCGAGGTGGCCCAAACCAAATAGACACGATAGACCCGATAAGCGCTAGGGGGGTCGGTGTTTCCGGTTTACTCTTGATATCAAGATGTAACTGGAGTAAGAAGCTCAACGGCCATCAACGCAAAAAAAACATCCCGAAGAACCATGCCACCACGCTGCTGCGCATAGTCATCAACACCGCTGACGAAGCTGCGCACCCGTTTTGGGAAGAGGTGGGAGCGGTGGTCCGCCGGCAGGATGGGCATCTCCTCCTGGGAAACCCAAACAAGCTCAATCTGCACGGCCATACAAGTTATGGGATATCATGTGATGTGTCAAGTTAATCTTGGTTGATGATGCTGCGTATGGATAGAGAATGCTGTGATCTAATTAGTTGGCAGATGTTGACAGAGCAGGTGGCAAATCACGCCCCAAATGTACTACCACAAGTGTGTGATTTTCCGTCCACTATGATCCCCTATGTAAGACCACGGGTGTTTGAGCTTCAAAAAGCTCTCCACCGGTCAAACCTTGCTGTGAAGGCCTTGAATCTTCTGGTTTCGTGAAACCAATCGTTAGAGTACTTTCAACTGGATCGGGGCTGTGGAGCTCGTGGACTTCGATTGACATTCTTCGGTTTGATGCTTTCTTGAGGATTTTTCTGAATGACATACACGACGGCTTGTAGCCTTTTTGCAACACGGTGTTTTTGCAGATTGAAACCAGCAAGGGGAGGGTGGAATGTGCATGGCTTTGAATGACGCAACCACCCAGTCCGTGTATTGGACGCCGCCCCAATCACCTTGGCAGGCAAAGGCACATTGCAACAACGCCTTTAAAGATTGAGCTAGTTGTATTTGAACGTGAAGAAAAATATAGCTCGACAAAGCCAAAAATACCAAAGAACACGAAGCTATATGTTTCTTCACGTTTCCCCGAGCTCGCTGGCTCCTTCTCCGCGTGCAGAATGCATCTGAAATGTGACACTCTTAAATTTCTATGAGGATAGGCCAGTTTGCAGAAAAGTTCGCATAAATCCAATATGCTTGCATAAATAGTCCTAATGCAAAGAAGGGCTTTCCCTGCCGGCTGCATCACCTGCATGTGTTCCCGACATGCAATTTTACCGGAGGAACTCCCAATGTCGGCTTCAAACCTTTCAGCTTGTAGTCATCCATCATCCCTATTGGCCTATCCACAGTTTTGAACAAGGGTAGAATTCCAGCGACAGTCACCAAGACACACTCGTACTCGGAACAAACTTGACATATGAGATCTTGCCCAGCCCAGTGGCCGATGACCATGACGTGCTGGGACGCACTCCTTAGGTCATGCGGAAAAGACTCGCCACGCCAGTCGGTCGCTCCTCAACCAAGAAATTGGGTCATGCTTTGAGGGTGGTGAGTGCGCCCTTAAAGTTCGGGCTCACTTGGATGGTCCACGTTGGCTTACATCTGAGGATTGGGATGGAACTTCGGGGAATTGTCCAAGCAAGTGACCACGCGCGCAACACCGAAACATACCGAATCCCCATTCTTCCTTAGCCCTGTAGCCATGCATCTGCCCAAAGCAGGTGTCCCGCAGTGCCTTGCGGAAATCGGGGTCTCTGGAGGGCTTTAATAAAGTGATGGGAAAAGCTCTGGTTAGTATTAGGCTTTGGGAGGTCGTCTGAGAGACCATATTAAGAGTCTGTAAATGTTTCTAAGCCCCAGCACCAAGCCCGACTTCATGAGAATGTGCCACCGGCCTGGCCGTTGTGCTGCATGGGGTCCTTGGAGGGCTTCGGCGGGGCTTCGAAGACATGCTGTGCGCAGTCGCTCCGCCGATGCTCAGAGTCCTTGGCCAGAAAAGCAAAGCAGCACACAAGCAATCTGTAGTATACAAATATGGGATCATGGCATCTCTTACTGTTGAGGATCTTGGGAAAACCAATCGAGACCTTTTGAGGATTCCATACATCAAGGCCCCTTCTATCTTTGCAGCCCCCACCTTCGCACCCCTCACCCCTGAGGAGGAACAACGCCCTGCAAAGCAGGTGAAGATGTCATACTACGTGGGGTGGACATGCATGGAGTCCAGAGCAAAACCCGCTTGCACCAACTGTTCAGCCTGCCCAAGCATGCCCAATGAAGATAAGCAGCGCCCACACGCGACTCCGCGCTCCTGGCACTACGTACCCAACAGCATCCATATATATATATATAACAGGCTGGAAGGTTTTGTAGTTCCACGCACCAAACCTCTTTATTCATATTCTATATTGAGGGTGAAGCCCTACATTGATACCTGTCGGGCTCGTAGAAAAAAGAACGCTTAACTCGCTTAGTGTGCCCCATCTTTAGGTCTCTAGAAGAACCTTTGATTGTGGTGCTCCACTTCAATCCTGGCAAAGCTTTCTCTTCTCATCCTGCCTTGTGCAAGATGCCAGTGCGACAGCCAGTAGCCATCTCATGGCTGAAAGAGCACTGCGTGCGTAGCTACCCTTTTTTCACCCTAACAAAACCTTCCAGTGAGCACTCCCACGATGGAGAGGTAAACTGCAAAATGTTTGCTTTGGTTCAGGCGTCGTGCACAGGTCTTCTGGCTGCAACTATTCACACCGATGTGGCTGCGGTCCTTACACATCTTCATCCTTTCCAAGAAGAAGATAGTTCCGTCAGTAAGACCCTCAAAAGGGTCGGGTCTGTCTCTCTTCAAGTTCCTGAGGGTTGGATGATTGGATCTTCCAGTAAGCTGTATTTATATACCAAGAAGAAGATCCCGAAACAACCGAACACCCATAGGTCTGCCAGATAATGTAGGAATGTAGACTGCTGCTAGACTCTTCTTGGTCCAATCCTACTAGCGGGCCCAGGCTTGGGGCAAAAAGCTGCAACAGCCAGGTCGTCCAGGACCACAACATTGGGTCAACTTTGAGTCAACTCGTTATTTTGCCATATAGGGTGGAGGCCATCGCTAGTAGGTTGGAGGCCATTGCTATTACAGGGTGCCTATAGTGAACCAAACTCTCCGGGACCCTCCCAAGCACCGGCCGCTGACCTCCATGGCTTCTCGTACGCTTCCGCTGGTCTGCGAATGGAAGGTCTCCACCATTTCTTCCACCTCGGGGTTTTCTGCAATTTACAAGAACTTCACTCAATTTTTTCTCTTAACTCTTTGTGTTTCCTCATCTGTCTCATCTGTGCAAGTCCCTTTCAAGCCTCAACAACTCTGAGCGCAGTTCATCAGCTCTGCTGAAGATGGCCTGGTCATCAGACAACCTGGCGACGGCATAGGGCGTGGCTAAGCAAAACGTAGGGCCGACAATAGAACGAAGCTTGGCTAAGCAGGGCCTTGAATGAAAAATATCAAACCATTTAGAACCAAAAATGAACATTGTCGCTTGAGAGGGTAAAGTGGTGAAGTTAATTTTAGATATTGGCGAATCTGCTTGTGCATAGAAGCCGACCTCCAGTCCACAGAATATCACTACGCTGCCCCACCCCGTCCAATGACTCCTCGATCCTGCTTTCCCACATGGGCCTGTCTGAGATGAACTCGCTTTTCTCGAGATCACGTTCTCCCAAGAGTCGTTCTCGCTTGGCTGGCGCACAAGAAGCGCTTGGCGAGAAAAAGCAAAGAAGAAGTAAGTACCCCCAAACAGGTCAGGTCATTCGACCTCCTTACGACCAAGACATTTCATAATTCAGAATCCATTGATGATAGTTTCCCCCTGCCAGGCCTCCACACTTTCAGGAAACATGTCTCTGATCTCCCGATGTTCATCGAATCCCTTTCACCCCAGCCGGCCTTTGAAGTACGAGATGAATCTCTGTACCTGAGCCTTGTTCAAGTCGCTCAGTTCCTCAGAGATGTCAAAACCCCTCCCTAGAGCTTTCATTGGTGCGAGAGGATGCAGCTGTGAGACAAACTAAGCCAAATTGTAGCAATTTAACATTGTCTGATGGACTTTCCATTCACTCTTGGAGGCTCGCTTGGGAATGCATAAGTTTTCACACTACTTCCTCTCAACAATAGCTCTCTCGCCAACCGGCCAACCAAGCTACTTCCCTCTAGTTTGCGGGGTGCTCTGGGCCCATTGGGATGTACCGTCCGTGCTCGTTGTCAAGACAGGACTGAGTCAGTGACAGTCATGAGGGGCTGCCTAGGGTCCAACACCGAAAGATCGATCGACTTTCTTCCACACTAATAAGGCCGATTAGGCCATGGACTATATAAACCAAAAAGAAACAAACATCTCAAATTTGGGTCGGTCAGCATTTCTTGCTAGGCTACTTCAGGTGAAGCTGCGATCCAATTTCTGAGAACTGTCTTAAAGGCCTAGTAGATCAACGTTGCAAATGGGCAAGTGAAAAGAGTAGCCTTTAGTTTGGGCTGCTAGACTTGATGACAGAAACTGACACTGCACAAGTGGATGCGGTATCCTAAGGTCATCTTGAACACTGAGTGAGGACCTCGCCCACTTTCGGCCAGCTTGGCCCCCCTCCGAAAGTGTCAGCTTGAACCAATGGCAGAAAGGGTGACAACCGGACAGTGTGCGTCACAGGTCTGAACTGTAAGCAATGCCACATTTAACATGACGGCTGTGAATTTCGTCATCAACTTGCTTCCGTGTGCTCCGCGAAAACAGACTTCTTTCCCACTTTTCACACAGTCCATGCGTGCCCTGTGACACAGTCACATATCTTCAGCGAGCTCGACAAAAGTCCTTACGTCTGTATGCAAGCTGTTGGCGTTTAAGGCCGCAACAAAACCGGGGCAATCATTCTAAGACCCCAAAGCATGGCCAGGGACTAGGAACCTGAGTTTGTTAGGGTTGCTTCCAGCAGGTGCACAATAACTTCAGTGACATTGCCTCTAAAATGGCAATTCTGGCATTCATGAAAATCCTCTCCCTCAAACTCATGCTCCGACTGCCTCTCCACACCTCCAATGACCGTCTTCCATTTGAGCTTCCACCCTTTAGGTGCAAAAAGGGAAATGGAAATGAAGCGGCTGTGGCCGGCCAATTTTTGGGCATTAATCCTCACCTGAAGATCTGGCACATTCATTCGGGTGAACTTCTCGCTCAAAATGGTTTTACCATCCACGCTGAAGCTCTCGCTGGTCAGCTGTTCTGAAAAGTCCCACTGAAAGGGTTTTCTGGCATTTGCCCTAGCCGGCCCTAGCCTCAGCCTTCTCTGAGAACGTGCGTCCCGTGACTGCCCTCCTATCAAGCAAAATAGTTGTCCGCAGAGATGACAGCTGCTCCTGGCAGAATTGTGGTCTCTTTTCTTCCACAAGCAAACAAAATGCCAGCCAGCATAGAGCATTAAGGGATCCAGTGGCAAAATAGTCAGTCTCATATCTCAAAAGTTTTTTTAGCTTGCAACGGACACACTTAGAACAGCATCTCTACGCATCTCTGCGCCTTGAACTCGTACAAAGTCTCGATCTTTTCTTTGAGATCTTGCTGGCGCTTCAATATAGCATCATCCTTTGGGAACAGCTCACGCAAGCTGCTCATTTGGTCCTCTCTCCAGGACTCTTCCAGCTTCTTTGCCAACTTGTCCAACATGTTGAATTTCACGAGTTTGGCCGACGTTTCCACAAAGTTCTTTATCATCTGCTTGGTGTACACATGCAAAGAAGCACAGATTTCCAAGGTTGCCAACTTCCGTGGCTCTTCCTTCGCTTGCTTCAATAGCTCCAAGAACTCGGAGGGCAGTTGCCCCTCTGCTCCAAAATTTGCGGCCAAATACTTTTTGGGGTCGTTGTTTAGCCAAATACTTTTGCGGAACTCATTCAAGTTTTCCGTGTATTCACCATCTGTGGTAAATGTCACCTCCTGACACTCAGAAATTGCCTTGCAGAAGTACCTAGCCTTGGCGGTAAGTTGATCAATGTGGTCCTCTGCCTTTGCCTCCAAACGGTTGCAAAGGGCGCCACTCATGTTCGCATGCTCTTGAATGACGTGCTGCACTACCATTCGCAGATGCTCACCCACATCTGCAACAAGGCCGTTCACGCTTTTTTCCAACAACCCCTCTTTGATAAAGACTTGTTTGATGAAGTTGATAAACACTTGGGGCCCAGTCAAGTTGTCCACGGTGTGACCTGTGACAAAAGTTTTCACTGTGTCATCCACCTCATCGATCATGTCCTCCCCTAACCATTCCGGATTTTTTGAGAGCAGGTCCTGCCGGAACTCCTGAACCATGGAAGCAACCTTTGGAGCAATGGTGAGGTTTCTGTCTGCACTCTCGGCGCTCATGAACTCCCCACGAATACGCCGTGACAAATCCTCCCTGATCTTTGAAATTGTGTCATTGAAGAGGCGAAATTGCTCGACCTCGCTTTCAGGCTGGATCGGGAGTTCGCGCAATTTCTGCTCTAACTCCAAGAGCGTGTGGCGCACTTCACTCTTGATCTTGGGTAGACACTCATCCACTCTGGACTCTTGGACCTTTGCTATTTTTTCCATGAGCCTGGGCGTGCCCCAGAGGTGCTTTGGAATCCTCTTCAAGAGATCACTGGTAGTGAAGACCTTCTTTTCCTTGTCCCAAAGATCCTCTCTGCTCATGCCAGCCTCTATGTTCTTCTGCGAGCGATTTACCACGCAGTGGAATCCAAGCTGAAGACGGACATCCGAATTCCTTTCCATCAAGACCTGCGGGCCAAGGTATCGTGGGCAAGGAGGTATCCAAAAGAGTGGGCTTTGCAACGCTTGACCCATACTGACTCTGCTGACCACATATTCTTCAGAGCCACGCGAGTCCTCTAGGGTAAATATGGTTTCCCACCACAAAAATAACAATCTACTGTATAAGTATATATATATGTATCTACAAGTTTTTTTGCGTTCCCAATCGTCAAGCAAGCACCAAGCCTTCTCCACAATGTCTGATGCTTCGGCATTCGCTGCATCGTCGCACTTGGTGACAACGCCCAATGTCCGGATGCCATCTGGATCATACTTGCGTGCCAACTTCACCACCTGCCGACTGCAACACTCTCCAATAAACAAAAACCTGTTGATGACATTGCAGCAGTTCACGTACTATGCACGGCATTCGTAGACTGCCGACACTTGGCAGCTAGACTAGACACAAACATCATTTGCCATGTCAAAACTAGCTCACCCAACTGGTGGAGCGGAGGAACCACCTTTCCCAGACTCTTTGTCAGTCCCTTTGTGTACTCGAGAGCGTGATAGGGGTGCGCAAACAGCACCAAAAAAAAAACTGTGCCTCAGCATTTCCGAAGTCCGATGTGGCAGGGATCACACAAAGGATCACCATCTCTTCAGGCTTGATGTACTCCTCCACCAGGCTGACAGTGACCTGAAACAGAGCTGTAAAACTGACAATCCTGGTGTCAACAAATGTTCAATGGCTCTTGCTTGCAGTACCCCTGGGAGCTGCCCAAAATTCACGATCTTGGAGCTTGCGTAGCACACGACTTGAAGAGGATCTTGCCGTTTCAATGTCCAACATGAAAGCAGGTTGGAGGCCATCGCTATTAGGTTGGAGGCCATTGTCATTAGGCTGGAGGCCATCGCTATTAGTTTGGGCCATTAGGTTGGAGGCCATTGTTATTAGGCTGGAGGCCATCGCTATTAGGTTGGAGGCCATTAGGTTGGAGGCTATTGTCCTTGGCTGGAGGCCATCGCTATTAGGTTGGCGAGGCCATTGTTATTCCCACATCACCATGTGGGGTTCTTGTTTTTCGCTCTGCGCCCGCCGCTCCGCCTCCGCCGCCTCCGCCGCCTTCGCCGCCTCCGCCTCCGCCGCCGCCACTCATCTTACACCACTATCTTACACTGCTCATCTTACACCACCCATCTTACACCACTCATCTCACGCCACACATCTTACACTCACCACTCATTCTCACACCACCTATCTTACACTACTCCTCTTACAGCACCCATCTCACACCACTCATCTTACACCACTCATCTCACACCACTCATCTTACACCACCTATCTTACACTACTCATCTTACACCACCCATCTTACACCACTCATCTCACACCACTCATCTTACACCACTCATCTTACACCACCTATCTTACACTACTCATCGTACACCACCCATCTTACACCACTCATCTCACCACTCATCCTACACCGCTCATCCTACACCACCGAGCGCAGATTGCGTGGCAGGCACAGCACGCAGAGCCTTCAAGAGGACTGGGTGGACGCGTGGTCGCCGCTGGGCCGCGGCTGCCTGTCGTACAGATTTCGTGGTAGGCACAGCACTTGGCGACGCTGGAGCGCAGAGTTCGTGGCAGGCGCAGCACACAGAGCCTTCAGGAGGACCGGGTGGACGCGTAGGCGCCGGGCCCCAGCTGCCTGTGTTCTAGATTTCGTGGTAGGCACATGAGTTGGTGAACCTGGAGTGCAGCTTTCCTGGCAGGTGCAGTACACAGAGCCTGCAAGAGGAGCGGATGGACGCGTGGTCGCCGCTGGGCCGCGGCTGCCTGTCTTTTTTTTTCCACGAGTACGGACGCCGTGTGGGCATGATGCCCAGGTCATCATTGAAGGAAAGGAAAAACAATCAGATGGTGGAGAAAAGGACAAAGACAACCCAACAACAAACCAAACCAACCAAAACAGAGCCCACCGGCCGAGTCTCCACCATCTTGTAGTCTTTCCTCTGTGCTAAGGTGAAACAGGCGAAACGAAAACTATTCTCTATCAATGGGCCTGAATTCTCGAACGAAGAGCATGGCAGCGCGGGTTTATGCTCTAGCAAAGTTTCCAAAAAGTCTTCAAATGGACTTTACTTCCCAATTACCAGTGACCAGCGGCCACTGCACAGTGTGGCAAAAACCTGGTCACGATGCAGGTCAGGAGCATAGCTATGCTCCTACGCCGGTTGTATCCATGTCAAAATGGATCAGTGGTTGCTATGCTTCATGCCGTGGAAAAACCCTTTCTTGTGGCACAACCCATTCAACTGGTTGCGCTCACAAGTCCAGAGGCATATTAGTTGGTGATGTGGAAGGTGGCGGTCATAGCAAACGACGAAAGCCTGCAGGTAAGGGTGCGAAAGGCATCCCCCCCCGAAGGGAGGTCATCTCAGCACCCTTCGGCACCCGGAGGTGCCAAAACGGGGTGTCCCCTAACTCTGTGAAGTGCTGCAGCATTGCAAAAAGTGGTCTGTTGCGCGCAGGGCCCGTGTGAAACAGGTGAAACATTGGACCTATCCTAACATGGTATCTGTACCCCTTTGTACAAAATTGGAAATGTCGGACATCAACAGAGGGAACTAAGGTTCCCCCTGGGCATCCTCCATTGCCACTCTCTACCACCCGCCTGTTGGGAACGAGGAGCTAAGGCTCTCATTCCTACTGGCTCACTGTATTGCGAATGGCGAAAAGAGGTTGACGGTCCTACTTAGTGTTTGCGCATTTCCTTTGCCGTAGCTTGTTAGCGGTATGTCTATCCACCATTCCCGCTGCAAAAGTATTGCTGATTTTTGCAGGTCTGGAGAGCCCTCTCTCCATTGCTCACTGGCATCTGCCGACCGCTCTCGGTGTCGCTTGGACTAGACAAGCTACCCTCCTTGGTCAAGGACATATGTCCTTCGCCATGTGTTGTTTTTCCTCTGCTTGTACTTTGCTCGAAAGTGCGGACTGCCTGCAAAGGCGCATAGCGCCATGCAGAGCAGGAGTAAGAGCCTCCTGTAGAGAGGTACGCTGAAGGAAGGCTTCTTTTGCCGTGATCCTCAGCTCTACTCATGAGTTTGGCCTGCTGTGGCTTCTGGCCTACTCTGGACTCGAGCTAAGGCGCGCGCCCATGATGGATGTTAGTGGGCCTGCGATAGCTGTGATCCGAGGCTCGTCTTCATCCAAGACCTGAGGTATATCCAATGTCCGGGATCATATGTAGCCAGGGCGGCCATCTCATATCGGGACAAATGGCGAAAGCATTTTCTTCTGCATAGACTCCTCGCCATTTGTGCTTGCCTGGCATCTTGGCGAGCCTCTTCAAGGCAGTGCAATCCAAAAAGGCCCTACTTTCTATGTATCTTAGCGAAGGCGAGATTGCAAGCTCAATTAGGGCTGCACAGTTCATGAAGGCTTTAACTCGGATTGTATGAAGAGTAGTCGGAAGGAGAACTTCTCTGAGGCTAGTGCAGTGCACAAAGGTGAATTCCGGAATTTCTTCAACAGTGGTGTTGCAAAGGTCTACACTCTTAAGCAGTCGGCAACTGTCACACGCATGCGCTCCAATAGCAGTAAAATGCTTTGGAAGAGCGAGTGCAGTGATTCCCGTAGAGCTAAGACAGCCCGGTGCTAGCTCACTGGTCCTAGCTTGCAGTGTTGACCCTCGGGGGGATGGAATCTCACACAAAGTAACCTCAGCAAGGTTGATGCACCCTTGAAAGAGGTATTGCCCGAACTTGGCTTCGTTACTGAATTTATTTGCAACCCCTTCAGATGCATACACCCATTGTAAGGGACAGCATTCCGCGAAGGCCTTGTATCCAAAGTCTCGGCAACCAGGAGCCGAGACACTGTTTAGTTGCTTGCAGTCACGAAAGGCGTTATCGGAAATGCCTACAACTGTGGCCGGCAGTTTGACAATGCGAAGTTGTCGGCAATTTTGCCAGGCCTCTGCTCCAATGAGCCTGATGCCTGACTCAACACTGACATGCCGCAAACGCGGAACCCCTGCAAAAGCCCCTTCTGGGACGATTTCCTCTGGGTTCATAGGGACATGAACGGCAAGCGGAACCTGATGGATAGGGCAACCGTCGAGTTGTTCCTGTGATGACAAGGTGACACTGCTATCCTTAAAGACAACGGTGTATGCCACGCCTTGCTGTAGCCTGTCCCAGATTGGGTCCTCAAGGTATGTCTGTGTGGCAGTTTGGCGGGGTGTCTGGCAGTCGCCAGGTCTCTCCACAAGGGGACTTCGATGCGCAGCCTCAGCTGCAGAAGGGAAGGAAACGAGAAGGCTTGTCCCAAAGACGGGTCAAGGGCACCACTAGAGTAAGCTCTTTCGGCCCAGGAAGTATCCGGCATTCGGGGGTATCGGTCGTAGGCAATTTCTTTTGTGCGCACTCCCACCACAAGCAGAGGGTTGTCTTCAGCTCCTTCTTCTTTGGGTCGGTAGCCGTAGCCCCCTTTCACCTCTGCGGGCGTGAAGCCCTGCCGCTCCATGGCTACAACCAGGTCAGGCAGGATCTGTACTGGGAGATAGACAAAGAGGTCATTGGTGGGTAGCGTCTGCTCGCCATGCTCCATTCCCCTAACAAAGGACATGATGACAGTTTGCATAAAGGTAAGGGCATCGACATCTTTTTCCTTTGTTTTCTGTGGTTTCCCCTCCACTGCTTGGGCTGTTCCTGTACCCTGGTGTCTGTGTTGATTGTCAAAGGAACAGCACCTTGCGATGAAGGCAAGTAAGCCATACTGCCAGAAACGGGGGTTTGCATAAAGGGCGAGCTGTTTGTGAGTGATGAAAGGGCATGCTGGGTGTCCACCCTTCACGAATGTGAAGAGGTTGGACAGGGGAGCAGCAAAGGCTTCGCTGATACGGAGAAGGTCTCCGATGTAGGCTTGGTTGATTTCATCAGGAATGTCCACAAAGGAGGAGCCATGGAGTGCTTGCTCTGTTACCCGCCTCCAGAGAAATGTACGGACAAGGCGGTTAATTTGCTTGTTGGAAATTGCAAGTCTCGCCATCGGCCATTCTCGAGGCAGGTCACTGTAGGTCTGTAATGAGGGGAGCGGCACGCTTTGTCCGTCAGCTTCTCTGGCCGTTCGAGCCGCATGTTGATAGTCGTATAGGGCCTGCGTGGCTCTCTGCTCAGATTCCAGTTGGAGATCAGTGGGCAGCAGTGCCTCCACGCTCTGCTTGCTCTTGATCACTGGCAAGGTCAATTTCTGTCATGGTGTGTGAGCGCTCTTGCGTCGCTCCAGGATGGTCAGGTGGTGTCTCAGGGTTCCTGCAAACTGGAGCCTCCTGCCTTTGAGCATTCCGACTGGCCAGGTCTGCCAGCGTGGCCGGTGGTTGCTCGTGCTCGGGGATGCTACCAAGCGGTTGCCTGGACGCTGGAGCAAGTGATTTTCGTAACTTCTTGGACTGAGCTCTCCCTGCACTAGCCTTAGACCCCGGTCTTCGTTTGATAGGGGACTCAGAAGAGTGCGACGTGGGGCTGCTACTTGGGGGTTCCCCGTTCTGTGGGAGTAGCATGCTCCTTGCTTCATCTTCTGCCTCCAGCATTTCGTCGTGAGCTGGATATGCTTCAGGAGGAGTCGGACGGTTGCTAAGGCAATCATCCTCATCTGCAGAGGAGGTGTTAGCACTGTCGTCGTCTTCCATGTGCTCGTCTTCTGCCTCCGGCTGCTCTGTACTCGGGATGGTGGGCGACTCTGAGGAGGAGCTGTGGACAGAGACTGCTTCATCTGCTTCTTCATCAGCCATTGTGGCATCTGTCGCCACCGGAGAGGACAGTGGCTGTCCCTCTTGCACATCATGTTCCTCCTTTTCTGTATCACGGTCAGAGACAGAGAGGACCTCAGGTGTTGCACTTGGCTGAGGCCAGTAACAGCCTTGCACTAATAGGCCTGGTTGCGGTGGCAGGACTAGTTCAGATCCGGGGGCATCGAGG